TGTTTATGGGTCCCAGCTCTTCCTCCTCTTACATTGGGTTTCATGCTTGACCTTGTTCGTTATGAGGTAGATTGTCCTCCATCTGGTTTGGGATATTGGGGTGAGTTTGGTTTACATGGGTGTCCCATGGGGTGAGGATGGGACTGATTTAGGATATCTCCTCTGGTAGGAAGAAATGAAGGTCTAGAGGGTGGGTTACTGGGATTTAAGGATTCACACGTGGAGGAAAGTTCCAGTGGCTTTACATGGCTTGGAGTAGATTGTGGTTCATGGTTGGTGCCAGAGGTTATAGCACATTGTTGATCCATGTTTGAGTCATGAAGTTGTTCATGGCTAATCACACTCTTTCTGATATAAGTTGCGCAAGGTATGAAGTATTTTGGGTCACTATGACAGTGTCTTGGCCATTGATTTCCATGTTGAATGAGATCGCAAAGCCCATTAGCCCTGCTTTCATCAAAGATAGGGGTTGGTAGTTAATAGGTAATGGTGGAGATGTGTAGTAGATCGTTGGGTTTGGCAACTGGGGAGGGAAGAGAGGAAGGTTGTTCATGGTTGATAGAGTATATGAGTCCACCAAACTATATAGAGACCAGGTCCTGTATGAGTTTCCACTGAGAATGCTAATGAAATAGTAAGTAAATAGAACATGGAGTTTTACGTGGAAAAATCCCTACTCAAGGGGATATAAAACCACGACCTACACTGGTAGGATTTTAACTTCACTATGAGCAACTTTAGATTACAACCTATGCAAGCTAGGAATTAAGCTCTTAATCCCTCACAAGCTTATAATATACCTATTACAAGCCACTTTACAATACACCTATTATAAAGGCTTCAACTTATGACTAACTCTAGTCACGACACAAACACTGAAGGTTTATGGTTTACAAGGGGTTCCTGAGTAACGCTTCTAGATAAGAAAAATAGGAATTACAATAAAAAACAATTACAAAGTTACAACTCAACTAAGGACATACAAGATACTTGATGTAGGAACTGGTCCGTAGTAGTGTTAAACTTTGTTCTTGATGAACTTGAGAATTGAATACTTGATTGTCAGATGCTTGAATGCTTGAGTTGAATTCTCCAGTGATCAACTGATATTTTGTTGTAATGTTTTATGTTAATACAATATGGATGACATCACTTCAATGATGTAATCAATTGATAGGTCAAATGAGAGGCGACTGCAGAACTGTGCTGCACTATTTCTGTGTACAGTGCGAGCAGTCTCTTTCGAGCTGTAGACAATTGACTTTGTACTGCTGTCAGGGAAACACAAGGGTATTAGGTCCCTATGTTGATTCTGTATCTTCTGAAGTCATAACAACTCACATAAGCTGAAATTTGTTGATTTGAGTTGTGAACCAAGTGTGTCAAAATCCTTATCTGGTTCTTGGACAGTAAGTTTGTTAGATCATCAAAACATTAAACTAAGGTACTGTAAACCCATCAATTTCCCCCTTTTTGATAATGACAAACTTAGAAATTGATAACACATGATTTAGAGCAAAATTAACCAGATGAAGTAGCAGGAACTTCACAAGTTCCCCCTGATGTTATGCTTCCCCCTTAATCAGATCCCTGTTTCAATTATGCTTCCCATTTTTGGCATCATTAAAAATACACAAGCAAGTAATCAGTATAAAAAAGTCTAGCCTAGCTAACTCATGCCACATATGTGTACACAATCATGATAGAAAAGAGAAGCAGAGAAACATAAGAAATAAACAACAAAAGAGGATAGTTTTTATAAAACATAAGCCTTTGCCATTACAAAAAAGGTAGAAATTAGACTGTTATCAGTGGGAGCAGTACAAGTACATTCCATCCACACCACAAAAGAAAAACAAAAAGAAACAACTGCTATAGTCATCAAAAGCAAAAGAGATAATCCAGAAACTGGTCACTGAAAGGGTTAGCCTAGGGGACACTAGATATAGAAGGCTTAGAAGCTGCAGCAAGAGTGTTGAGAACGAGATCAATTCGGGCATTGACCGACATTTGCTTTGCGAGTAGTTTCTCCTTCAAGTTCTCTAACTGTTGCCCGAGATCAGCATTTTTTTGGTTAGACGAGCGATCTCCTCATTTGACCCTGGTTCCCCTTGGGCCTGCTGGCTCTCCAGAATGTCATTCCTTGCCCTCAACTTCCTAATCTCCTCAGTAGCACTATTCTAGGCATTGATAAGCTGAGAGATTGTTGAAGTGCTTCCTACTCCTCTACCTCTTTCAATACATTCACATTCTTCCAGAGTAGTTTAGGAGAAGGTCTGCTTCTTGGTCCATATCTTAGGCTGTCCCAAAGGCACTTCGAAGAACTTGAAGACATGCGTGAGAAGAAATCCATATGGAAGACCATGGTTTCCATCCTTGAAAGGTGCCACCTTTTACATGTGCTTAATCATGATGACTGGCAAGTTTATAGCTTTAAACCCATCTAGTGCTTCCATCAAATACAGGTCAGACTTGGAAGTAATAGACCTTCTCTCAGCACGGGGTAGAAGAACCTTGTTTACCAACTCAAACAATAGCTGATAAATGGGAAGCATAGCTTTCTTATGGACTCGTTCCCCCCGCTGGACTGCTCCTTCCTTCACAATAACATTCCTAAAGTTTGACCCACACATATTCTCGACAGAGGACATACCATCGGCAGGGACCTTAAGTATGTCCCCAAGCAAAGTTGCATCCAACACAATATCAACTCTATTAACCAAAGCACATATATGATCAGTTTCAACAGGAAAGAGGTCTGCATAGCAGCTTTGGACCTTATCCTCAGATTTTGGGAACATCCACCTTGAACAGATGTCCCCACTATTGAAACTCGATCATGTCAATTATTTGTCTCATTCCAGACATTTCAGAGATTTCTGGGTCAAAAGTACAACCCCACAGAACCTTTTGGTACCTTAGTCTTTCCTTAGCAGACATACTCTCACGCTTCACTCTCTTTGTAGAATTAGGTTCCCTCACAGTTTCCACCTTCCTTTTTCCAGACTTCACACTCAATTTTTCCTTTCCACTTGACTTTACTAACATATCATCCTCATCAGACAATGACTGTTCACTCAAAGCATGTTACAACTTTCCACTACCTTTCACAGGTTTTGAACTTGGCGTAGCAACACCTTCCTCTCGCTTCTTTTTCTGAGACCTTTTCACCAAGGAACTTGGTTCCTCTGCTGCTTCCTCATCTACTTCCACTACAGGAATATTTTTGTCACACACAACCTCTCCATTTTTCACCAGCCTTTTTTTTCTAGTTGTTGTTACTCCTTTTACTCTTCTGCAGGGCTGACTCAAAAGCCTCCTTTGCTTGCAACCTAGTAGTAGGTCGCTTAGGAGAAGGCTCACGAGTGGTTACTGCCCTTCTCTTGGCAATGAACGCATCTAGAGCAACATTATCTTGATCTTCTTCATCACTGGACCTCATACCAGGAGCCAGATTTCCAGGGGCTTAATATCAAAGTGTGGAGAAGCAGCAAGGTCGAAACTGACTTGGGAAGAGGATTCTTGACTTGTTACCTCAGGAGAGGGGTCAGGTCCTTCAAGAGGGGTCCTAGTAGTTTCTGCTGATGCAGAGTTTTCAAAGAGCACCACAACTCCTTCTTCCACTGACCACTGTGTCTCTTTCCTCCGAGACTTAGGGGTCGTTTGGTAGGGTGTATAAGAATAGTGTGGAATAAAGTGTACTAGTAATGTATGGGTTATTAATGCAAGCATTAGTTATGCAAATATTATTTCTTATCTACTGTTTGGTATGGTGCATTAAAATTATAATGCATAATAGTTGCTTACAAAAATGTCCTCCATATTTTGTAGCTTTACAGGACTTTAAGGAAAATTTTATCTTTAACCATACTAATGCATGCATTAAAGCCTTGGTATTACTAATGCCATGGATTTCTATGCATTACTTATGTATATGATAATGCCAAGTATGATGTATAACTAATACAAGTATTAATTATAGACAAGTTGAAAAAATGTACCAAACAAGGTATTAGTAATGCATAAAGCTAATGCTTGCATTATTTTTTCTAATACCTCCTACCAAATGAACCCTTAGGCATATAAGAGATCACCCCATACACTATTCCATCAACAGATATGGCTAATATATTTTCTATGGCCTCTTTCTCTTGAGACTCCATTTGTGCCACAAAGTCAGAAGCAAGAATAACTGCAGACTGATCAATACTAACCTCTGAGACCTCTACTACCTGCGGAACTTTACTATGTTCTCCATTCTTGCTTTGTTCAGTGAGAATCTCAGGTGATATAGACGAAGGGCTATCGGGTTTTGGGGTTTCTGAGTTCTCAACATTTGGAGGGAGAGAGAGGTCTAAGAGAGTGACATGAGAAATAGAGGGTGTAGGAGAGTCAGGTTTGGGAGAGTCCTCTGCAGTGGTGGTTGAACAGGGGATGGTGAGAGGTATTTCACTAGAAACGGAAGAACTAAGGGTTTTCTCAACTAATGAGGGAATTATTGGTTGATCTTCAGTCATGGCAGAGATGAAGTTTGAAAGTTCTGGAGAAGGACTGAAGAGAATATGTGATTGTTCAAAGAGATGAGGGGGTTTTAATAGGAGAAGAGATAATTATGAGGGAGAGAGAAATCGGTTCTGAAACGACGGTAGTTTTGTGGGGAGTTGCAATGTCTCAGAGGGAGATGAAGGGATTTGAAATGAAAAGACATGACATACAGGGTCTGAAAAGGTTGATGACATGACACTCGATTTTTTGCATCCTTTTAAGATATGTATGAAAAGGTACAAAACACTAACTTGTGGTACAAAAACCAGGTTCTTGACCTGTCTTTCAAAAATTTCCATCCTCTTTTACCACTCATGCAGTGCATCTACAGCTTCTATAATCATCATGAGTGTCTACCTACAATAGTATTGAAGTGAGTTAGACTTGGTTGGAAAACACTTTAGCTAATGTTACCTGAATGTGACTTTCATAGCGAACTTATGGGAATCAGGTTCTCAATTAGGCTTTATTAGCCCCAACTCCAGCCTATTTCCCTCAAAATGTTCTCTGCTCAGTGCTTTGGTGAAGATATCTGCAATTTGGTCTTCTGTGCTACAGAACTTCATGCATATAAGCCCTTTCTCCATGTTATCTTTGAGAAAATGATGTCTCACATCAATGTGCTTGGTTCTTTTATGTTGAACTGGGTTCTTGGCCATGTTGAGTGCACTGGTGTTGTCACATAGAAGAGGCACACAGTTAGTGTACACACCAAAATCTTCCAACTGTTGTTTGATCCACAGGAGCTGAGCACAGTAGGAGGCTGCAGTAACATATTTTGCTTCAATTGTTGAAAGAGCCACTGAGTTTTGCTTCCTTGTGCCCCATGAGATGAGACATGATCCTAGAAAGTGAGCCATTTTAGAAGTACTTTTTTTGTCCCCAAGATAACCTGCATAGTCAGCATCAGCATACCCAATAAGATTAAAATTATCACCTGAAGGGTAGTACAGGACCATGTTCTGTGTTTCCTTAAGATATCTCAAGATTCTCTTGGCAGCATTCAGATGAGATTCCTTGGGATTTGATTGAAACCTTGCACATAGCCCCACACTGAAGACAATATTAGGTCTGCTGGCAGTGAGGTCGAGAAGAGACCCAGTAATGTCTCTATACATGATTTGATTTATAGGAGAGCCAGATTCATTCATGTCCAAACGAGTAGCAGTGGCAATAGGAGTGTCAATCACTTTTGATGCTTCCATATCAAACCTTTTCAGGAGCTCCTTGATGTATTTTTGTTGGATAATGAATGTACCCTTTGTGGACTGCTTCACGTGAAGACCCAAGAAGAAGTTCAACTCTCCCATCATGCTCATCTCAAACTCACTTCCCATGAGTTTGGCAAATTCTTCACACAGTGAATCAGCTGTTTCCCCAAAAATGATATCATTAACATATACCTGAATGATGAGCATGTTCCTCCCTCGTTTCTTCAGAAACAAAGTGTTGCCAATTTTTCCTATTGTGAAACCATTTTCTAAGAGAAACTTTGATAGTCTTTCATACCAAGCTTGAGGAGCCTGCTTCAACTAATACAATGCCTTGTCCAATTTAAACACATGTTCAGGGTGTTCATGACATTCAAACCCTGGAGGTTGCTTGACATAGACTTCTTCCTTAAGGAATCCATTTAGAAATGCACTTTTGACATCCATTTGGAACAAAGTGAATTCCATATGTGATGCAAATGCAATGAGGATTCTGATAGCTTCCATGCGAGCAATCGGAGCAAAAGTTTCATCATAATCAATTCCTTCCTCCTAATTATAACCTTGAACCACTAGTCTTGCCTTGTTCCTTGTAGTGTTTCCATGTTCATCAAGCTTATTCCTCAATACCCACTTGGTTCCTATGATGGTTCTATCTGAGGGTTTAGGCACCAGGTGTCATACATTATTCCTTTCGAACTGATGCAACTTATCTTGCATGGAAGTGATCTATTCTACATCCTTTAAGGCTTCCTTGATATTTTTGGGTTCTATTTGGGAAAGAAATACTGAGAAAGTAAGTGAATTTATGGCTTTTGATCTGGTTTGTACTCCTGAATCCAGAGGGGTAATTATGTTATCAAGAGGATGGGAGCTTTTGTGTTTCCAGTTGGGCACTTGAACCTCATTTGTAGAGGAGCTGGGTAAGTCTGACTGGTTTTCTTGCATTCTTCTCTCAGCTACTTGTGTAGCACTTTGAACTGCATCAGCCACTCTTTCTTTAGCTTCAGTGGTTGTAATTGTGGTACCTGGTTCCTCTCCAGCTGAAGAGACTGCATTGTCTTCACTTGGCTCATTTACTTGACTCATCATGTCTGCCTTTCCATTTTCCATATCGATGACTTCACCTGGAACTAACAAAGGTTCTCCATCTTGATCACCCTTGTTGCTTTTCTCACAAGAAAGGTAGAAATCATCAAAGATTACATGTACACTCTCCTCTACGTACTGAGTTCGCTTATTGTAGACCTTGTACGCTTTACTTTGAGAAGAATATTCAATAAGATTCCTTCATCACTCTTGGCATCGAATTTTCCAAGTTGATCCTTTCCATTGTTGAGAACATAGCATTTGCACCCAAATATTCTTAATTGAGTCAGCTTGGGCTTCCTTCCATTCAACAACTCATAGGGAGTTTTGTTCAAGAGAGACCTTATCATGCACCTGTTCACCAAGTAGCAGACAATGTTGACAGCTTTACCCTAGAAGTTCTTCACAATCCCACTATCGATCAACATTGTCCTTGCCATTTCTTCAAGGGTTTTATTCTTCCTTTCCACAACTCCATTTTGTTGTGGAGTTCTAGGGGCTGAGAAGTTATAGGTAATGCCATTCTCGTTGCAAAACTCATCAAACTTAGCATTGTCAAATTTTGTCCCGTGATTTGATATTATGCAGGCTACTTTTGAATCCATCTTCACTTGAATTTTCTTCACAAATGCTACAAAAACTTCAAAAGTCTCATCTTTTGTTCTAAAGAATAGAGTCCAAGTGAATTTGGAATAGTCATCCACTATCACAAAAATGTATCTTTTTCCTCCTCTGTTTTGCACTCTCATAGGACCACATAGATCCATATGAAGGGGATCAAGTGGTTTTGAGGTGCTGACATCCTTTTTTGGCTTAAATGAAGATTTCACATGCTTCCCTCTGGCGTAGGCATCACAAACTTTGTGCTCCATGAACTTTGATTTGGGCAGACCACGAACCGGGTCCTTCTGAACTAGCTTATTCAGTAGAGAAAAGCTTGCATGCCCCAATCTTCTGTGCCGCAGTTCAACATAATCATCAACTGCTTTCAAGCAACACAGATCACCACTTTATAGGGAATTAAAATCAGCAACATAGATGTTCTTGTATCTTTTTGCCACCAGTACCACTTCATCCGTTACTAGATTAGTAACTATGTATATCTTTGACAAGAACTTCACCTTGTTTCCTTTATCATATATTTGAGAAACACTCAAGAGACTATACTTGAGGCCATTGACGTAGTACACATTCTCAATTGAGTGAGTGGGCGATTTCCTAAATTTTCCAACTCCAAGAGTGTACTCCTTTTTCCCATTGCCAAAGGATACACTCCTTCCTTGCAGGGCTTTTAGTGAAAGAAAGTCCATGGTGTTCCTAGTCATGTGCTTTGAGTATCCATTGTCCATGAATCATTATTGACTGCTTCCTTTCACTATTCCCTGCACAAGGAAATCAAGAGTTAGTTTTAGGAACCCAAGCAAGTTTGGGTCCCTTGTAATAAGAAAGAGGATGAATAATAGCTCTTTTAGTCCATGCAGATAACATGAGTTTTTTATGAGTGGCACTTGGTCCCTTTTCAGTAGTTACTCTTTTAGCAAAAACTTTGTTTTTCTGAATAGACCGAACCCTGGCTTGGCAATTTTCTTTGAAATGCCCATTGTTCCCACAGTGGGTACACAACCAATTATCAGGTACGATAACCTACTTGCTATGGGGGTTGTAAGGAGTTCTCTCTCTTTGAAACCCTATTCCTTGCCTGTTTCCACCATTATTAACATACATGGCAGTAATATCTTTCAAGGACCAGGTCCACTTAAGAGACTTTTCAAGGTCATTTTTGACTCTTTCCAAATCTGCTTGGAGTTGTATAGTTTTCTCAAGTTCAACACATAAGCTAATTTTTATAGCATTTAATTCGTTTTCTAGTTTGATATGTTCTTCACTAGCAACTCCTTTTCCTTTATCAGTCTTTCCAGGCATACATTCTGCTTTGAGTTCCTCTATTTTTTCCTTCAAATCTATAATTACAACTAATAGGTCATCTCTTTCTTGTTCTAAAGTATCGGTTTTTTCCACTAGATAATTCTTTTCGTTACTGAAATTTTCAATAGTTTCTTTTAGGTCAACAACTACTACCATCAAATTATCTCTTTCATGTTCTACACTAGCAATTTTTTTAGTTAGAACCACCTTTTCATTTCAGATTGCTTATGGTTTCCTTCAGATCAACTATACAAACTACCAAGTCATCTCTAGTTTGTTCAGTATCTCCTAGCTTTATGGTTAAGGCATCCTTATCATCTACAAGACTGTGATAGGCATCAATTAACACATTTGCTAAGGACATGAGTTTTTTAGGAGAGTAGGATTTCAGATTTCTCTGAACATCCCTAAAGTTTACCTCATCATTGTCAGATTGAGCCATCAAAGAAAATATTGAATCATATTCATTTTCTTCACTTTCAACTGCCATCATAAAGCTATCACCTACATCGGTTTCATTTTCAGACTCACTAGAGGAATCTCCCCATGCTGTAAGAGCTTGCTTCACAACATTGTCAGCAGATCTCTTTCTTTTGAAGTGTTTGTCAAGAACCGGGTTCCTCTTTGATACTTTATCAGGGTTGTACTTGAAGTGTTCTTGCTTCAGGAGAGGGCAATCTTTGATGAAATGCCGTGACTTTCCACATTTATGACAAAGGTCATAATTCTTTGGTCTGTTGGAGCTGCCTCTTTTTGGTATCCCTCTGTTTCTTCTAACCATGTTCTGAACCTTTTGGTTAAGTAAGCCATGTCACTGTCCTCTTCACTTGAGTCATTGCTTTCAACTTTGAGTACCAGGTTCTTTTCCTTCTTTGGTTCTCTTCTTTCACTGTCCTTCTTCGTCTTTATTTTGGAGGTTTTCAAATTTCCAACTAGCTCATCTATGGTCAGCTCCTGCAGATCCTTTGCTTCAGTAATAACATTTACTTTACTCTCCCATGAACTGGGCAGGACATTGAGATTTTTCCTCATGAGCTTGTTCCTAGGAATGATTTCACCAAGTGAGTGTAACTCATTTATGATGGAAGTGAATCTTGTGTGCATGTCTTGAATGGATTCATCATCCTTCATTCTAAAGAGTTCATACTCGGTGGTGAGAATGCCAATCTTGGATTACTTTACTTGAGTGGTTCCCTCGTGAGCTGTTTGCAGAGCTTCCCATATCTCCTTGGCAGGTTGACATGCTGAGATCATGTTATATTCGTCAGGTCCTATGCCACATACCAAAATTTTCTTAGCACGGAAATTTTTCTCTACAGTTTTCTATCTACATCGTTGTATTCTTTCCTGATTTTTGGCAGTGTCATTGGAGGGTCTCCAGCCTCTTCGTTGGGACATAAGGACCATCACAAATAACACCCCACAATTCAAAATCTTCGGCATGATAAAATCACGCATTCTTGTCTTCCACCACCCATAGTATTGCCCATTAAACTTGGGTGGTCTGTACATAGACTGACACTCTTCGAAATTTGATGGAGCAGCTATGAAGATCCTTTCTAGGGGTTAACCTTTGAAAAAGAGCCCGCTTTGATACTAATTGATAGAGTATATGAGTCCACCAAACTATATAGAGACCAGGTCCTCTAAGAGTTTCCACTTAGAATGCTAATGAAACAGTAAATAAATAGAATAGGGAGTTTTTACGTGGAAAAATCCCTGCTTAAGGGGATAAAAAATCACGACCTACAATGGTAGGATTTCAACTTCACTATGAGCAACTTTAGATTACAACCTATGTAATCTAGGAATTAAACTCTTAATCCTTCACTAACTTGTAATATACCTATTACAAGCCACTTTGTAATACACCTATTACAAAGACTTCAACTCATGACTAACTCTAGTCACGATACAAACACTGAAGGTTTATGGTTTACAAGGAGTTCCTGAGTAACACTTCTGGATAAGCAAAGTAGGAATTACAATGAAGAACAATTACAAATTTACAACTCAACTAAGGACATACAATATACTTTCTGTAGAAACTGGTCTGTAGTAGTGTTAAACTTTGTTCTTGATGCACTTGAGAATTGAATACTTGATTGTCAGATGCTTGAATGCTTGAGTTGAATTCTCCAGTGATCAGGTGATGTTTTGTTGTAATGTTTTATGTTAATACAACATGGATGAAATCACTTCAATGATGTAATCACTTGGTAGGTCAAATGAGAGGTGACTGCAGAACTGTGCTGCACTGTTTCTATGTATAGTGCAGGCAGTCACTTTCCAACTGTAGACAGCTGACTTCGTACTGCTGTCAGGAAAACACAAGGGTATCAGGTCCCTGTGTTGATTCTCTATTTCTGAAGTCATAACAACTCACATAAGCTGAAGTCCGTTGATTTGAGTTGTGAACCAAGTGTGTCAGGTTCCTTATCTGGTTCTTTGACAATAAGTTTGTTAGATCATTAAAACATTAAGCTAAGGTACTGTAAACCCATCAATGGTTGTTCTTGGTGTTTGGCGAATGAGTTGAATCAGTCTGTTTCTTCTTCTTAGTGAGTAAGGCAGTCTCGGCATCTTGAGACTCTTTGGGACTTATAGATTGGATTGTTCTATCAGTGTACTTGATTGTGGGAGGGGCAATAGGCAACTTTATAGGAGTAGGTTCTAAATGCATGGGAGAAGAGTGGGGAAGTGTAAGAGATTCAACTGAAGATATTATAGTTGCCACGTTCTCTAGGGTAATGTCCATTTGTTTAGTTTCTAGTATATTATTGGACATGTGTTAAGGGGATGTATTTGGGTTGGGCGGAATTGTACCCAATGGGGTTGGATGAATGTCAGTAGGGTGGATGATTTCTTGGCCTTTTGATTGGATTAGATGGCAGGTTGTATTTGCATGTTGTTTTCCTCTAAGATTGTTAGCTACCGGTAGATTATTATTAGTCTTTGTCTTAGCTAATGATTGTAACATATAGGGGCTTGGGTTACTAGTGTTCTCCACGTGTATACTAATGAAGTTAGGGATGCTAAACTTATCTTACATGCATTGGTTAAATATTGCCTCAAAAGTCATTGGTTTGGGGTCATTAGTGGAAACTGTGGGCAGGTTTAATAAGAAGTGAAATTTGTTATTAATGGGAAGAGGGTTAGCATTATTAATAACGACGGAATTATTAGTAAAACCTTTAATTTTTAAAGACTTATCCTTAGGGTCTTTTTCAACAAATTTTAATTTTTGAGTTTGGAGAAACTTACCTGTATCTGCATTGAAGATCTTAACATTAATATCTGGGGTTGATGAGTCGTTTAGTGCAACTGATTTTGATCGTTTGCTTATATTTTTGGACTTGTTAAAGGAGACTGTTTTCCATTCTTCACAACTTGGATGTTGTTGCATTACCTGGGAACTCTGCATTTCTTGATTGTTTGGAACTTTAATTGACATAGAATAAGGAAAGTATAGATTTGTATATCCGAGCCTGCTACATTTCTTACATAGAAAGTTTTCTCCTTTGTATTGAATGGATTGCTTGTGCGACCCAATAAAAATAAATGATTTTACCGGTTGGTCCATGGGGATTATTTCCACACAAATCCTAGCATAACGATCTCTTAGGGTAGCCGACGTACATGCATCAACCTTTATTAATTTTCCAATTGTGTTCCCTATTTTTCGAAGGACCACACCATCATAGAACTCAGTAGGGAGATGTGGTAAACGAACCTAGATGGTTGTATGAAGGGGCTTAGCTTCAGTTGCCACAAAGTTTGGCTCCCACTTTCGCACTGAGAGGAAGTGTCCATTGATAAACCACAGACCTTGATGCAAATCTTTGGCTAAATTTTGTTCCTTTGTAAACTTAGCAATGTAGTAATCTGCACCTAAGTCAATTAATGTGAAGTTTTCAGTAATTTTTCATTGTTTTCGGACTTTCCTTCTTAGATAATGGTGCACAATACGCTTTTCGAAGAGCTTTATGATGACTGAGTGTTTCCAAGGATGATAAATGCGTTGCAAATCTTCAGATGATAGACTAACCTTGTAGCCTTCATTTAATGTATCCATGTCACGCGTATTGCAGTCCATAGGCTCTGATGATTGCGCTTCTTGATCAGTAGAATTGTTTGGAAAGGCTTCAAAGTGGACTGCTATGTTGTGTAGAGTAGTATATGTGAGTAGTTTGTCTTTGAAAGAGGGGGTTTCCTGAAGAGGCGGTTCAGTATTGGCCCTTAAATCCCCATTGATGACGTTATTAGGTATAATATATGGTGATTTTGGAGGAATTTGGGAAGTTGTTTGGATAGCAGTAGAAGTGGTTTCTATGGACATTGAGAGAATCGCGTCCAGCTGTAGTTTGTCAGCGTTTTCTATTTAGGTTAAAAGCACAAGATGGAACTAATTTGATCATTTATTAATTGTATTTCAATAGACAAATACACTTATATTGTCAAAAAGCTACCAGATTTTGACATTGTAGTTGGTTATTGATCTTATGAATGATGGTGTATTCTAGGTAAAGAAAATAAATGCCGAGTTATACATCCTTTGAAAAGAAAATTATAAATGTAATTCCAACCTGAAATCATAGTGCATGCTGCTTCATGTAATTAATATAGTGATCATTTTTTAATTACCTTATCATATATGAGCTATGTTGTAACTAATTTTTTGGACATTATTACATGATCCTCATCATAGTTTTGAACGCTTACAGGTTCTTTTGATTGGTTAAATTAGGAATTTAATCTTCACATAAAACTAAGTATATTTAATATAACGTTTGGTTGCTAAATTTGTTTTCCTCATAAATAATAGGAGTATTTGTATAAATTATGCGAACATTTATGTATTATTTTATGCATTAAAGAATATACAAGTATATATATTTGTACCACATGGACTAAAATACTGAAATGACAAAATTAATCTTCATAATGGTATAGCAAACTTTTACTTTATTTAACAAAAAGTAAACACATGTTTTGATTATTCATTATGTGCTAAATTATGATATGTCAAGCTAAACATCCAATCAAAAAAAAATCGACATATTACTTAAAATAGATATTTATATGATTGAAAAACAAATAAGATCATTAAGTTGGAGAAAAAGTTAAGTTCTTAGTTATTAAGCGAATAAAATCTAACCGTTAAAGGTCGTTAACAGTTAAAACATTACGACAATAATTATATTTTCTTCAATTTCAATTGCCTAAATCATTGACATAATGACATGAATAATTATTGATATCCCGACATGAATAATCATAGACATAACAACATGAATAATCGTTGACATAACGACATGAATAATCGTTGACATAATGTCATAAATAATCATTGACTATTATTTTAAACTGATTATGCTCTACCAACTACATCTCCTTGTATTTATACTTCAAGTGTATATTTTGATTCCATTTATCAAAAAATAAAAAATCGTTGTTGTAATTGTCCAAAATATTGACCATCATAAATAAGCAAAACAATTTATACACACCTTATATGTGCTTGTACAAATTTAACACTAGATGAATGATATGTTTGTAATATAAACCTCAACAATTTGGTTATAGAGTTAATTAATAGGTATTCTTACTTCATTCGATTAATACTTAATTACTGTTTTGAATTCGTCGATCTACCATCGATAATTCCTAAGTAAAGAAACAACAAAATTAGAATCTTCTGATGTGTTAAAAAACGTGTGTTTCTGAGCAACTTTCGGAAGCTTTGCCAGGGCTAAAACCAACCAACTTTGTCTTCTTTTA